TGCATGTTGCATGTTGCGTGTTTGATGTATCTTTGGTATACGGCCTGCCTTATACATATGTACAGTTTTATTATTATTTTAATAAATAAATATAATTCAAATCATATCGTGTTTGGTACCATCTTAATCAGAAAAATCTCACAAATGCGTTAGTAAAAGTTTCATTAAGGAAAAGTTAAAAATAAAAAAGTTTTATCGTTCAATTAGTATTAGTCACACCGATATTACGGTCGGATCATATTACACGGTTTCCTCGCCGAGCGGTTCGGTTCGGCTTAGGGGGATCCCCCCAAGTGGAGGGGATAGCGATGTTGCATATATCCAGCCAAACTTTTGTTGCATATATCCAGCTTTTACTGTAGTAGAAACTTACCTCGTGCTATTTTGTTTCTCGGTACATACTGCAGCATTCGGCTTTCTCTTCTTGGTTATGACCGTATCCACCCCTGCTAACCTGACGTTCAGTTGTCGGTGCTGGGCAGATTGCAGGTTTTAGGACATTTTTACTCGAATTCTTAAACGTTAATTACTAGAAAACAAAGCCGCAAACGCTATTTCGTCATTCTTGATTTTCGTCTTATTTTGATCCCTAGAATCACCTCTTAAATAATCTCCCACCTATTGTCGAACACTCTGTATATTGTAATTGTCAAAACTGTAATAGTTATAATCTTACGAATTCAAGTTATTCGATCGAGCATCAGAAGTGGACACAGAAATTTTCCAAAATTCAGAATCCACATTTTTTTATAAATGCTGATTCATATGTGGTATTTGAATGAAGTCATCAATATACATTTGTGGACCATACAAACGTCCTTCCTAATACGCATAAAGATCTACAGTATTGAAAGGGTTAAATCTAAATATGTATAACAATTTTATATAATAGTATAGCACCGAGCATCGTAGGCTTTCTCAAGAAAAGTGTCGCCTCTCCCCAACTTTCCCTACCGTAAACTTCCGCTCCTCCCCAAATGTTACCTCGGGGGAAGTGATAATGTAGAGTAGGAAGCCCCATATACCACCTTGTAAAATGAAAATAAAAGAAATGATATATAATTATTTATTTTAAAATTCTGTCCTGGTGAAACTTATTTTTTTTTTAGATTCTTTCCACCACTTACGTACAAATGTTTACATTGCAGAATTTGATTAAAACTTTATTTTATTATCCATATTTCCTAATTATAAACTGAATACTATAATATTTAATAATCAAAAATTATATTATTTCTTTTTCTAAATTACTTTTATTGTTAATATCGTTAAAATTAAAATTTTGAGAATTTCTGCTTTCCCTATATCGCCATTTTCTCTAAGGAAGCTTACTTTGCTCAATACTGTATGTATGCATTTAAGTACATACATAAATTATTAACCACTTTATTTAAATAAATATATATTGTAACATGGTGGCACAAGTGCCCCCCCCCCCGTTACAATAATCCAGATTTTTGCCCACCACGCGCTTGTCCCTTAATACCCCTTTCCTAACCCCTATCTCTTTCTCCCACCCGCCGGTATCGGGCCGGTAGGGGCAACGGAAAGATTGGACAACGATGCTGCAACCCCAACCCCCGGAGGACCCCGTCCCGAGGCCGACGACGACCCTTCAGCTCCCCACAAAAGGACACCGTGGGACCATCTACTGTCGGGCCCGAGGACCCTCAGCCCGTAGCCAGCATCGCCGAGCTCGTCAGCCCTGCCGATCCCGATCACCGGCCAATCCCCTCTCCAAAAATTCCCTGCGACGGTCTCGTCGTCAATTAGCGCCTAGCGTTTCGACAGCGAGCATTAATTATAGAGTACGATTTGCGGAGTGTGCAGTGTGTGTGTGGCGTGCCCCGGTAATATTGTCCCGCGGATTCGGCAACGGTATCTCCGGCCGTGTATTTCTGCGCCCGGGTACCCTTCGTTCGCGCACGGTATTCCGCGATTTCGTCCAAGCCCCTTCCCTTCCCATTTGTCCCATTCTCGAACGCGTAACGTAGTGAACCTTCTTGTGAGCCCTCCCACCGTTGAGATTTCCCTTCCCTCAACAATCCTTCCTGCGCACTCCCCCGCATAGGATTGTTACGGCACCCCGGAAAAGCCACGAGTCCCCTTCCCTGTAAAGACCCCGATTCTACCCTTTTTCTTTACTTTTGGATTGCCACAGCGAGTGGCTGGCGCCCAACGAATTCTGTATTATTAAGTATCGAAAATATAAAGTGACCCCCGCGAACCGAGGGTCATAATATATCTTGTGACCCACAATTGCATGGGTGCACTCTATAATTTACAATGTTTGGTTTCCTTCACAATGATAAAATCCGTTGGGCGCCAGCCACTCGCGGTGGCAAATAAAGGAAAAGGAAAATCGGGGATCTAGAGGGGACGGGTACGTCCTAATGTTACGGGGTCTACCGTAACAATCACTACGCGGAGGAGTTCGCAAGGACGATCGTCGAGGGAAGGGAAATCTCAGGGTGGAGGGTGTGCAGGAAAGTTCGTTTGCGTTACGCGATCGAGGGAAAGGGTTCAAGGGAATCTTTAAGGGGAGCAACGAGTTATCGCGGGCGCGATTCGCGGAAGTATAATGCGCGGACGCAGAAATTGCCGTTACCAGACTTAAACCTTTACAATTGTAATAATCGGAAGGACTCACCAGTCGCCGGATTCTCCACACACTCACACACGGTATGACTCTCGCTACTGATCTCACTCTATAAATCTCACTCTCTGTATCGCTCGTTACTCTCTATAATTCGCTCTGTGTCTCTAGACGCTGAAACGCTAATTGCCGGCTCGTCGTCGCAAGGAATTTTTGGGGAGGGGATGGGGTTGAATTGGGACATCTTCTGGGTCTAGGATTGATCTGTTATCGATCGGCTGGTAATCGGGATCGATGGGGCTGACGGAGACTCGACGGTGATGGCTGCGGGCTGTGTTCTTCGGGCTCGGCGACAGATTGCTCCATTTGGCTGTTCTTCCGCCGTTGTTGGGCTGGTAGACCTTTGTCGTGGGTCCCGCGTTGCCCCCTTTCTGGGGAGGGGTGCTGGGGCTGCCGCCGGCTTCGAAGCTCCTTTTTATGGTGGCAGCTTGCTGGGGTTCCCTCCGTCGCCTCCATTGGCCCATTACCGGCGGGTGGGAAAAGGAGTAAGGTGATGGAAGGGTTTTTCGTAGGTTACGGTGTAGCGGAGCGGGAGGTGGGGGAAAGACAGATTTTGGCGAGCAAACGATAGTTTTGTGAGATTTTGTAACGGAGCTATTCTTACGACAACAATAAAGAAGGCGATTGTAACGGGGGGGGGGGGGGGGGGGGGGGCACACGCGACACCACGTTATAATCTTCAGTCAAAATAAAGTACTAATTATTGCAACATTTCACAAAGTTACAGAGACGATTATATGGTTCCTGAATCTCAGGGATCTTCCAAAGCATCACCCTCGACAGGAAGAACAAGTAAAAAAAGAAGTTCTCTAACTGATATCGCGGGAAAATGATCAAAGCTGGAAAATACAACACAAAATTTAATTAGTTTTATTAATACAATTCATTAAATACAGTTAAAATATTTAATGCCACAACATAATGTCTGCGGATATGCTGATAAGTGAAATTAAAATTAATTTGAAAATAAAACAACATTTATAATTCATAATTATATATATTTATCATTGTACATATATATTGTAACGTGATAACACGAGTGCCCCCTCCCCGTTACAATCGTCAAGCCAAGCGGGCTTTCGCCCACCACGGGTCTGTCCCCGTACCACCCCCTTCCCTAACCCTGTTCCCTTGTCCACCCGCCGTTATCGGACCGATAGATGCGACGGAAGGACCCGGAACGACGACGCTGCCACCACCAACAAGGAAAACCCCGTCCCGAGGCCGACGACACCCAGGGAAAGAGCGTCTTGCGATGGAAAGAGTGATACAATCGTACGACCCAAAAGGACACCGTGGGGCCATTTACCCGTCGAACCCGAAGACCTTCAGCCCGCAGCCAGCATCGATCCCGATCACCGGCCAATCCCTAATTGATACATCCCTCGCCCAATTAGCGCCCGACCCAGAAGACGACCCAATCCCCGACCTATACCTTCTCCCCAAAATTCCTTGTGACGGGCTCGCCGTTGCCGTAACGGCGACGAGCGAGCAATTAGCGTTTCGACGACACAGTAAGAGTATCGATTATTGAGTATTGAGATTTTGCTAACCATCCGATTTTGTAACAGAGACCTTTGCGAAAGCAATTGGGAGAATTATACAGATAAAGAGTGTGAGTGTGCGAATCCAGCGTATTGGTGAGTCCCTCAAATTAATATTGTAAATTCTGATTTCGCGTAACGGCTACTTTCCCCGTCCGCGTAATTGCGAATCGCGATATTGCATATCCCTGTCTCCTCCAACCCTTAAAACTTCCCCTTTTTTTGACCCCCCTTCGATCGCGTAAAGCTGGATACAGACAAACTACCCGCAGCTGCAACGCGGCAGCAACGTGGCATTACTAAGTGTGCGCGGTGTTTTGTATTTACCACGAACAAGCGCCGCGCATGGAACGAACCATGAATTTCAACGCACATTCGCCATCAGTCCAGTGTTTGTCGCTGAAGATGGAAGACGACGAAGCTCTGCTTATAGCTAGTAGTGCAGTGATAATTTTAGCTTATAATGAGTTAAAAGAGTCAAAAAAAAAACGAAAAGAAGGCAGTGAAGATGGTGGCATACAGATCTATATTGTAAACGAAATGGGGACAAATTAATGTGGGATTTAAAATTTCAAGAAATTAGTGGACATTATAAAAATTTTACCCGAATGAGTTCGTCGTGTTCCGAAGATTTATTGACCAAAATTGCACCGAACATCACAAAGAAAGATACTAATCTGTGAGATGCAATTCCGGTTCAAGACAGGTCATATCAAAATATTTATTTCAACTTTGAGCTAATTTCCTGACTCAGGTGAAATTAACAAAACTGGTCTGTTGATAATTTATAAAAATTTACATTACAGATTAGCTGTGACATTACGATTTTTAACAACAGGAGGAGTAGGAGAATTGTGGGTTTCAAAGGATGGAGAAGAACAATGGAGCGGAGTTAAATGGGAATCATTATGCATTGAAGAAGTAGCTTGTGGTGCTGAGGAAGAAAATTGTGGAAAAGACTGTGAGGTATGAGAAACCATAGGTGAAAGAGAAGTAAGAGTTGGTTGTGTTTCAAAGTGTCCAAGATCTGCTTTCATGAGAAGACCATAGATTTCATGCTGTACTCGTTGCCGTGTATTGCGCGGATAGCCCATCATTTTCGACGACAAGAATGCACAAAATGATTGTACTTCAGCATCCGCTACCGTCGGCGTCGCATGTAATCTTCCAGCTGTACTTTTCAAGATATTGACAGCACTTTTTAATAGTTCTGTACCCTTGTCAGCTCTTTCTCTTCTTCGCTTTGGTGGTCGCGGATTGACAAATGTCGTCCTTTCCATTTCTCCAGCTGACGTACTTGGCGTCACCTGGGAATTATCTCCCACATTATCTATATCCTCTTTATTCCCAGCAATTCCATCAGTCAACGCAGTCGATAGGGACCCCTGGACAGAGAAGAAGAAATAACAATTAGTAGTAAGAAATAACAAAATCTCTATTAACTATATTAACTCTATTAATGTAGCCCAATGAATATGTTTCAGCTTCTTAGAACTCCTTCAGAGTGGATGGCGAAATGTGAGGTATACATGGGATTTTATGCACTGTACAGCTGCAATTGAATGGGCTGCAATTGCATTTTACTGCAGTCACCAATTAAGTCCGGTTCTGAGTTCTTCAATTACAAATCACACTTTAGTATCATGTTGCTCGCATTAGTTGATGTAGATTAATGGCAGCAAACTCTACCAAATGGTAAGGGACAATTCCTTAAGGTTGCCAGCGGCAATCGAACTTCCGGGACAACAAATCAAAGTGCCTTATTTTATTGCGACAGACAGTGCTTTTGCACTTCAAGAAAATATAATGAAGCCGTACGGAGGAGAGCATCGCAAAAGCTCGTGTAAAGGAGTTTTCAATTACCGACTGAGCAGAGCTCGTAGGGTGGTTGAAAATGTTTTTGGTATTATAAGTTCGGTATTCAGGGTTTTAAGAAAACCATTACTATTAGAACCGGAGAAAGCCCAAATAGTTGTCACAACAATTCTTTGTTTACACAATTATCTGCGACAACATTCAAAAACCTTGTATACACCTCACGGAGCTGTAGACTATGAAGATGAAAATGGAAAACAAATGGATGGTTCATGGAGAAATGACCCAAACAAAATGAGTTCTATGCTTTCACTACAGAGGAAACCCAGAAGATCTGCAACTGCAGTGGAAAAAATTCATGATGAACTCGCAGATTACTGCTCTCATGAGGGGGCTTTTCCGTGGCAAGATAAATAGGTATGAAATTTATATTTATATAAACGTAATAGCTGCGTTACCCGGCTCTGCCCGAGAATTTCAATACTGATCGCGGTCCGGGATCTCCGCCGCGATTGATGTAGCCAATCAATAGAAAATTGACTATCTATTTGTCGCCCGATCATAGGTGGGGAGAGGGTCATATTTCGGTAGATTAACAGCAGCGACGTTTGGAGAGTGTTTGACGGCGTTCTCGTAAATTCGCCAACAGTTCATGTTAAATTGAATGTTAAAAATTGAAAGAAATCAGCTAAAACACACTTTAATACAAGCAGAAATACTATTCAATGCAAGGTGCAATCTTTTTTTTAAATGACGAATATTTCTTTGACATCTGATACGACGTGAATAAGGAAACAAGGGCCAAAAAACAAAAAACTGATAAATCTATATTATGAGTGTAGCATACTGAGGGGGTCTTGGTGGCAATGCCGAGTATTACCAAACCAATTCTTTAATGCTTCCTTGTTAGTCAAAAACATAACCAATCGCAATATGACATAGTCTATGTCCATCTAAAAAGAATAAGCTGTCCAATAGTGCAAATTTCATTAAAATCTGTTTAGTCGTTTAAACGTGAAAGAGAAACAAACGATCAGCATTTTCACTTTTATACAGGGTGTCCCAGAACTTGCGTTAGTCCCGTGAAGAGCTGGTAGCTGGGGTGATTCTAAACAACTTTTTCCTTTGCGAAGAAGTTGTTTGAAGCTTCGTTTTTGAATTATTAAGGAAAAACACTGACCAATCCGAGCGCGTATACCGCGCGGGCTCGGGGACGGCAGCGTCGGCTACGAAAGCGAGATCATTGAATTCACTCAACCACACGGTCACTATCATTTTTCACAGAATTTTCTTTCAGGTAAATAAACATTTTTATTCACTGTCACGTTGCAATTGCACTGGACACGAATGAAAAACATGTAATATTCTGCACTACAATAAAAGCTGGATATATGCAACGAAAGATTGGCTGGATATATGCAACATCGCTATCCCCTCCACTTGGGGGGATCCCCCTAAGCCAGGCCTGACCAAGTAGGGGAATTCACTCCTGGAACACATATTTTGGGTCCCCTTCAAACGCTGCTCCTTCAAGTAAGATGGGACCGTTCCGACTACCATCTCTCCGTCTTTCCTAGCGGCGGTATTGTCTCCTCGGAGAGATGGTAGTCGGAACCGTCCCATCTTACTTGAAGGAGCAGCGTTGGAAGGGGATCTAAAACAGCTGTTCCAGGAGTGAATTCCCCTACTTGGTCAGCGAACCGAGCCGCTCGACGATGAAGCCGTGTAATACGATCCGAACCGTTATATCGGTGTGACTAATACTAATTCAACGATAAAACTTTTTTATTTTTAACTTTTTCTTAATGAAACTTTTACTAACACATTTGTGAGATTTTTCTAATTAAAATGATACCAAACACAATATAGTTTGAATTATATTCATTTATTTATTTATTTATTCTGAATATGCTGCTGAACTATTGCCTGCACATTAGGTGCTTTATGATGTTAGGAACAGTCCGTGATTTCCATGAAACCGGACAGTTTCTTCCTATTGAAAATTAAAGTAATTTACTAGCTAACAGTAATAACAGAATGATAATAGAATAAATAAACAATAATAATGGAATAAACAACATAGAATTGACACCTCGGCTACATATGTATAAGGCAGGCCGTACACCAAAGATGCATCAAACACGCAACATGCAACATGCAAGACGGCGCATGTTGTGTACGAACTTAGAATAGGTATCGTGGTTGAATACAAACGATGTGTTCGGACGCAGAATCGACACCTCGACTGGATATATGCAACAATAAATGCTCTGAATCGACGCCTCGGCTGGATATATGCAACATTAAATGGACAGAATCGACACCTCGGCTGGATATATGCAACGTTTAAATGCCCAGAATCGACACCTCGACTGGATATATGCAACGTTTGAAAGCAGAACCGACACCGCAACCGGTTTTCATTTCCAACCCTCCTTTGTTTTTCGCCAACTTTTAACATCAATTTTAGCTGTTTTTCCGAGTACACGTCCGCGACGAGACTAGCGGTTTCGATACGATCCGCGTCAACGAGGGCCGTAAGTCCTCGCTACGGTTTGACCGACGCCACGAACTGCGTACTACCCTGCGACCGGTTAAGGAGACAGAGCGTATTAGGGTTGTAATTAATTATAGAATGCTTGTGATGTTTAGATGTGTTTGATGCTTGCACAAAGATTTAATGGTATTATGAGTTACTCTGACTCGAGTTGTTCGTATATGTGATTTAACGAATGCTTATGAAGCAAACTGATCGGAGTCTCAACGGAAGCTTTAGAATACGAACGAAGTGATCTGGTCAGAGGATCGACAAGAAGTGTCCTGCGTTTCATGTTTTGTATCTAGTTTCTATTTTCCCTTTCCCGGGTCTCAAGAACGGTCAGTTAGGAGCTGCAGCGAACCAGCCGAACCTAATCGCCGCGATGCATATGGGAACCATTTGGTTTGGAAGGATCGGTTGTACCCCAGGCAATAAATGAATGAATGGTTTCATGGTCAAGGTGACCGTTGGTGCCTGGGACCGACTTTTGGACTGCGCAGACACATGCATCACACAGGGTCCGTCTAAGACCCGAAAGAGAAGAAGTTTTTGGGCCTTTGTTTAGGCAGTGGGAATGAATGTTCTGAGTTTATGGTTTGTAACCTTCTAAGCCCTGGGTGGTAATTTCATTAATACGTGATGAACTACCACTCTGGCCAGCTTAGGGTAGTTTTTAAGAATCATGTTAAATATGACCGATCGTGTTTCTGAATTAGTGCAATAAACTTGTGAAAGCTGCCATGCCGCGTAACATTAGCAAGTAATTATAATTGAAACTATATCGTGTTTAGTACCACTTTAATCACAAAAATTTCACCAATGCGCTAGTAAAAGTTTCATTTAAAAAAAGTCAAAAATAAAAAAGTTTTTTGATTCAATTAGTATTAGTCACATCGATATGTTTCGGCTCTTTCCTTTGATCATCGGACCTCTCTCTTTCCGCCACTGTCTGTCCCTTTCTACGTTCACGCTTAGCTGGTCGTCGCGTGTAACCCGAGATTCGACACCTCGGCTGGATATTGCAATGTCTGGGTCCTAATGTTTGTTGCATATATCCAGCTTTTACTGTATCCACCTTTTACTGTACTTCGTAACGTTTTCACGACGTTTCTTCCTATCCAACTTCAAATGGGACTGCCAGCTTCACTGATCTATATAACTGGATACGGTATACGATGTCTCAGCATAGCCGTACTCTGCGATGTTTCAAAATCGCCATCTTTGAGAACTATCCGCTTCGCCCCCTGGCGAAGGGCACCGACATTAAGGGTTTTCGATTGTCACGTATCTGCGGTGTTCGAATATTAAACTTATGTAACTGAATGTAAAATTTAATTTTTGAACGAAACCAGTTAATAAGTAACTTACACATTGTATTTGTGTATTATTTTATCTACATATACTTTTAGTTGTATTTCTTTGTATGTTTTGTACATATTCTTTAGATACATGTAAGTTTGTATTTATAAACTGACCTCGCAACAATCAAGCTGGCAGTCCCTTTTGAAGTTGGATAGGAAGAAATGTCGTGAAAACGTTACGAAGTAGTGCGGAATATTACATGTTTTTCATTCGTGTCCAGTGAAATTGTAACGTGACAGTGAATAAAAATGTTTATTTACCTGAAAGGAAATTCTGTGAAAAGTGATAGTGACCGTGTGGTTGAGTGAATTCAATGATCTCGTCTGGAAATCAGCTGTTCTTCGTAATTTGTTCCCTCCTTGAATGTTCAAGATCGACACAGTGACCCAGCAGGAATTATCTGCTTTCAGCATAGCAAGTTCATTTAGAAACGAATCGGTAAGTTTCATTTAAATTGTTTTTAAATCTTTATTGATTATTCCATTTCAAAGATTTTTATTTGTTGTTTAGAATGTTTAGAATTTCCTTTTTTACATTATGACAGGCGACAAGATTCGTATTCATTTTAAATAACTAAAAATGTTCAACCAGTTCAATTTTTTATTGTGCTATTCCAACGGAATGCCGAGCCGTTTGTTCGCGACCTACGTCAAGCCCCGCTTTCGCAGCCGACGCTGCCGTCCCTGAGCCCGCGCGCTATACGCGCTCGGATTGGTCAGTGTTTTCCCTTAATAATTCAAAAACGAAGCTTCAAGCAACTTTTTCGCAAAGGAAAATGTTGTTCAGAATCACTCCAGCTACCACCCCTTCACAGGACCAACGCAAGTTCTGGGACACCCTGTATATTAATAGGGAAGGGAAGTAGGGAAGTAGGAATTAGTTAACTTTTTTCCTTACCGTGTCTAGTTTTTCCCGCAGTGTATCTCGGTCTTCTAAAAATTTTAATGAATCATACGCAAACCAGCGGCTACGATAAATCTTGGCTGCCCCTGTATCAAAATAAAATAAAAATAATAAATAAATAGTTTAAAAAAAATAAAAATAAATAGTTTTAATCAGAAGGACAATTTTACTACCTTATAGACATAGAAAAGGAATAAACAGCTTACGTTTTCCTGTTCTCATGGACATCTTTGTCCGCGACTTTTCTCTTCGGTAAGAGGAGAGCAGGCTAACTATTTTCTTCCTGCAATCGTCTGACGATCTGTTAATTTTGATGCCTATTTTCTCCCACGCATCAACTTTTTCATTTCTTTTAAAATAATTTATGTCAGTAGGGTTCCACAGATTTTCGAATTTCCTATATTGTTCAATTAATTTGATCATTTTTTCTTCAGTCCACTCCGTATCAATTATCAACACAACACTTTCAATACACACCAACTAATAACTGACACTTCGCAATGCCGCGAAACACCCGATGCGCTTTTCCCGAAATAAAAGAACGTGCGCGGATAAAGCGGTTTATTGTTTTCGGTATTTGGGCTCGAACGCGGCAAACCCGAAGAAAACCGTCCACACTGCGGCAAGGAATCCCTTTGTGTTCGCGCAAAAGACTGACAGAAATTGGTTCGTTGCGCGGCATTACAGTATTGCCGCGTGGCATGTTCGCACTACCGTCCAAACGAACGAATATTCGCCCAAATACGTTCGTTCCATGCCGCGTTGCTGCCGCGGCGCACGCGTCTGTACCTAGCTTAACGTAAGAACCTACCTAGAACCCTTCCACCCTGAAATTCCCAGCTCTAGAGTTTCCCATTCCTGCGAACTCCCCCGCGTAGTGTGTGACGGCCGACGAGGTCGAGCCACGAGTCCCCGTTTATTGTGAAGAACCCCGATATTCCCCACGCGAACGTGGCTAGCGCTCAACGGATTTCAAAATTTTTGTATACGATTGTATAGAGTGCACCCCCGCGAAAAGGGTCACAATGTATAGCCATCATATTTATATTAGAACACAATAATTATACTGTGCAACAAATTAAAACTTTTTTTCTGTTCTGCAACATCCGTTGGATGATCTTTGTAGAGCTTCTTGTCCTGAACACGAATCCGAAGTGTCCGAATGTTCCGGTGGAAACGTTCTCCGTGTTCATCATTCACATTACCGAGATTTGGCAGAAAAAAGTCCAGGTGGGAATGTAAGAAGTGCATCTTCAAAGACATATTACATCCAAGGTCTTTGTATGCTTTTAAAATTTTATTAAAGATTTTAATTTTGAATTAAAGTATGTTATCAGTTTATTGTTGGTACTTACAAATAATAATGAATAACAACGAAAGAGAAAGAAGAATTATGAAATAATAACAATAACAAGAAAAATCAAACATTACAGATATAATAAAATAATTTTTAACACTTCACAACTAATAATAATTCACACTAATAATTTCACACTTTTTAGTGGAACGAGCGGTATTTGTAGGATGCCGTAAGGTGGTTTACTGTTCTTATTGGTTAATTGCAATAACGATAGTTTTTAACGGTAACATGTTCCATACATTTTTGCAAGTGGGATCATCGCGGAAATATGTATCTCTTATTAAATGCGAAAGGTTTCATCGCGATCGATACATTCTGTGCAAATTAACACCAAGGAATAGGGTTTTTGTTATAACAATAATTATTAACAATAACAAATTGCATAAATTTTTGCAAGTGAGATATCGCGGAAATATTTTCTATTAGATGTGAAAGGTTTCATCGCAATCGGTACATGCCTTGCAGAGTATGCATACAGGGTGTTCGACAACAGGTGGGCAAAATTTTAAGGGGTGATTCTAGGGATCAAAATAAGACGAAAATCAAGAATAACTTAACAGCATTTGTGGCTTTGTTTTCCAGTAATTAACGTTTAAAAATTCGAGTAAAAAGCGCCTGAAACCTGCAATCCGCCCAACACCGACGACTGAAAGAAGAGGGCGAGCTGTGGCCACCTGGCGGCAAAACGCCGTGTACGTGTCACCGCCAGATATTTTTTCGATTTACTCGAATTGCATACTGCTCCAGTACTTACCCAACACAGTTTCTTATTCGGAAATGTCTACAGAATTCGGTACTGTACAGCGAATTCGTGCTGGATCAAAAACTTTTCGTAAAAATGCAAAAGTAACAAGTAGAAAATACGCGCATCGGCTATTTTTTAAACTTTCATCGTCATTTACAGCTATTAAAAATCACTTATTATAATAACTATATATATCAAAATATTCGTAAAACGCTCCCCTATCTTTTGAGACCAGCCTAAATTTCCTAGCACTTTTAATTTCCGCGTAATACTTCATTTTCTCCCAAAATTACGCATTTTTACAAAAACTCCTGTTTTTTGAAAACAGGGTGATCAAGCAATTCCGTTTTCGGATTTGTGTTCAGGACGAGAAGCTCTATAAGGATCACCCAACGGGTGTTGCAGAACAAAATTCGTGTTGGACAGTGATTATTTACATTTATTACCAATCAGTGTGATTCATTGATCGTTTCGCCTGATGCAATTCCTCAAATTATTCTAAATCGGAATGTATAACAGAACAATCGACAAAAATTAGGTTTTGTGCAATGTCGATATTTCAAATCGTGAGACACGAATCCTCACAAGGCGATTGGTCTGTTTCATATCTCATTTGTGATTATAACACTTTTAGGAAATGGCGGTTTTTTGAAAATAAAGTACGTTTTGGACCAGGTTAGGCCATTACCTAGCAAACGTACAACACTCTAAACAATAAACCCTTCTTCTTATCTTTAATCATTTCTATATCTGCAATTCTGTTTAGCAATTATATTCTATTTGTCAGGAAATTTTTGTTTACAATCTTCTGTTGAAAAATAGTTTCTTCTGTATATTAGGCAATAAATATGTATATAGTTTTTAATAAAGTGTAAACAATCAAATCTTTTTTAAAAAAATTGAGAATTCTAAATGTTCATAATAAATAAGTATACTATTCTAAATAATTTTATACCCAATGGTGTACAAAGAGCGTATGCTTCGACCGCGATGGAATGTATGGAGTAGAAAGTTCATACGATTAGGTTATATTTAAAGTATTTATCTATTAATTGAATGTCGATTCATCGTAGTTAATTGTAACGGTGCTCTATATAGTGACAGACGTAGTTACAACATGCGACAATGAAGAAACTCAACGAATTATTCTCAATTTGCTTCCTGTTGTACTGTTTGTATGGTGTTTGTACGACTCATTTGCTCATAAACGTTAAAAATCAGGTAAGAATTTGTATCTGTCATTTATTGATGATAAAACTTAAGAAGAGTGTAATCTTTGAAATGAATTTGTGTAAAAATGATTTCCATACAATTGAATATTTAATAATTTATCATGCTAACCTAAAAGAAAAATAAATTTCACCAGGAAAGAATTTTAGAATAAATAATTATATATCATTCCTTTTATTTTCATTTTACAGGGTGGTGATATTCTATTAGAAACAATTTCATCCAATGTAACTGAAGATGTTATCACTTTAGAATTTCAATGTTCAGATGGCACTTTGGTGACACAACTTATTGACTTTAAAAATGTAATCTATTATATGAAAATAATTGTCTTTTTAATATATTACATAAATAGTAATAAGATATTTTTTGTTTTCTGTAGGAAGTACAGATTATAAAAGCACTAGTTCTTGGAGAAGAAGAACGTGGTCAAAATCAATATCAAGTCTTGTGCTTTGTTAATCATTTTTTCAAAGTAGACTTTATATCCTCTGATGCAATGTCTAAATTACGACAAAAGAATCCAGGCACAGTACGTGTTGCAGAAGAAGACAAAGGCCATGTGAATTATACCATGGATTTGTTCTTAGATGTATCAGAATCAAAAGATATTTCAAAACATATTGCAACTCTTTGTGGAGAAGCAGCAGGATCTGCTTATACCAGAAATGAAGACATAAAACAATGGATTCAGAGACCTGGTAAGCTATGCGCTAATAAATAAATAAATACCTAACCATCTTAAAATTCATTTACTAAAATATTTGTCTTTAATTCATTAGGTTCTTCTGAACTTCCATTGATGGCAGCTGTATACAACTTCAGCACAAATTCATTAACGCAACAAGGTACAAATGATTCGAAATCATTGTTTGTTACAAGGTGTGCTGACACATCAAATATGTGGGCACCTTGTACCTGTTCATTAGAATTATGTATCGGTTGGTATCCGTGTGGTTTAAAATTTTGCAAGGGGAAAGGTGATGGAAAAAAGGCAGTTACACCTTATAAATGTGGCATTAAAACTTGTAAGAAGTGTTTTATATTCTCATATTATTCTAAAATGAAACAGAACTGTTTATGGGATGAATGACACATAAGAAATCTGTAGGTATATAGGATTCTGTGAATAGAAAAAGGTAGAGTTAGTTAAAATGTGGGAAGGTTAAATTATCTTCTATATAATAACTTATTATTTTCATAACAACAGGAAAAGGTGTATAATACATTTCTAATTAATATTTAAAAAAGATTTTTTTGGGGTTTTAAAGTTGCATTTATCTGACATTAATCACTTAACATCTACAGAAGAAAATAATAATTTCAGAAAAATATTTTTTATAATTTATGTACATTAAACAGATCATGATTGATCTCATCAAATTCTAAGGCTTATTGCACGTGTACATATAAATTATTTGAATAATTCTGTAGCTTATTTTTATCAAATTGTACATATTAATTTACTATAGAAATATTTCGAACAAAAATTTGATTAATAATTATTTATAAATATTTTTTTATTTAATATATTAAAATTCTTTTGATTTATAATTAATATATTTTTTGTGATAGAAATCCAAAAAAAAGAAAATTTAAAATATATCAAATAATTTAAAATCAATGATCATAAGATTTTTAAATATATTCTCACCTTTATAGACTGTATTGAATGGATGCATTTTTAACAGCAATATTTTGTATTCCATTATCAGCGTAACGATCAAATACTTTATAAAAATAAGAGATTTCTCAAACAAAGGAAATTAGAAAAATATGACATTATACTCTGAAAGACTTAGACTCATATCTTATTATACACAAAGCAAAGATCACTTTGACTCTTTTTATCATGACACATTTCCAAACTGAAGTTTCAGTGCATTTATTGAAAATCTAATTAATTCCTAATGCGTATCTGCTACATTGTATGCACAATGTGTCTTAACAATACTAATAGGATACATATACGTACGTGTATTGTCACACACGTTAATTGTGCAATTATGTTAGCGTCACTTTACATACTTTGTCACAGAAATAACGCTTCGTTAAGTCCTTTGAGAACGTTCGATCTCTTTGCTGGTTCAAACACGACTGTCTTATTCTTATTTACAGTTTCGTATAGAAGTAGTTGCCACCTAAAGTAAACATTCGAATGTACACACACTGAGAACAGTGGGTTACAAATAACATATTCAAAGTGATGTGAAGATGACCTATATGTCTATCTCAAAAGTGATGGGATTGAAGTTTTGAAATCTAAGTTGGAAACAAACTATACGTATAATGTATTTAGTACATAATACTGATTGTTTGATTTAAATGTATACATAGTTATTTTCCTTATTACTGACACTTTCCATAAAAATTGCTCAATTTTCAAGGAGAAGCATGGTATTAGATTAACAATTTTGATAAGAATATTGTTTATGAAGATATTAATGGAATTACTTTTACCACGTATCAAGATGGATATGGTAAAATGATATTCCATTTAAATTTAGTCTAATATTATGTATATCCATTTTTTTCAAGCGAAACAATTTTATTTCCATTTTTTTCGTAATTTAAACACTGTTTGTATGCATTTAAATCACACTAATAGAAATACGTACGTGTGTGTACAGAATTTTATACATGACCTGTAAAGCTGCCATATATATGTGTAAGTTAATTTCCACCAATTGTACATAGTGCGAGGCACACACGTTAAATATAAATAACTAGGGGCACGCAAAGATAAATTTGTATATAAGAATTGTATGTTAATAATTGAATGGTGTACAGTTTGTAGTAAATAAGATTCACGATGTTACTCTTGGGAGTAAAGTTACTGAATTTGTACGAAACAACTTGCGTTCACTATTTGTATAAAGAGATCACTTGAAATGAGAGAAACGAAACGACCGTGTATACGTTTCATAGCAAAAACCACTATAAACAAGACTGCAATATCTGTCCAATTTAATAATAAACGTATTGTAAATGCACGTTGCGATTCTCCGCGCTTCCTCACGAACACGAATTTGTATCTAATTAACTCTCTAGAGTAAGCGAATTATGAATTGAATGCGAGAAATAATTGCACATACACGCTTGTAATCCGACATCTGTCAGACTTGTAAACGTCGAAACAGCAAATAGTTCTACTTGTCTAAATAGTTGTACAATAGACAAATATAGCGATACATCATCGTGTAAAATTCGGTGACACTTTGACTGCCATGTTCGATTATTATTAAATTATTTTCTATGATGAATAGTTCATCTTAGTGAATATACTTTCAAGTATTTGGTAAAATTATTTATAACTGGCTATGTAAGTTTATTCCATGAAATAGGTGACATGGCAGTTAAAATGTTAAATTATGTGAACAAGTCAATGTGAGACAACTCAATAGAGTAACTTGCATAGCCTGTTAAGAAAGTAATGATCATGGTTTATATGTTGAACGTCATGGTTTATATCTTTACTGCAACAAAGGCTTCTTAAGAATTTAAACTTTGCATAATAATAGACCTCAAGGTTAACAATTTTGCTTAAATCACAATGCGTACCTCTGAGAGATAAGGACAAAATTCATGTTTAGAATTTCCTTGTGGGGTATGTTTTACGACTTTGCAAAATTGTTATGTACTAATTTTGGGGTTTTCTGCTGTTGTACAAAGTTTGAGACTAACTCAAGAAGGTTAGTTTATCCCCCTTTGAAAGAGTAATTGTTGGGAGAAGAACTTTCCTCTAGATGTTTTTGGTTTTGGGAAAATTCAGGGAGATCCTATGGAAATCTTAGGAAGTCTACATTACACTTGAATGCACATTTGCAAAGGAATCCAGTCTGAAAATGATTCAAAGCCTTCAAATTAAAGATCAAAAGTGTTTTTTGTTTTAAATTCTATGTATTGTACTCTCTGGATAGATAAAAGTAAATAGTATCTGGGGTTTTTAAAAATGGGTTGTGTCTTTCAGGAAGGTTTTCCCATAGTTATGTTAGTATCATCAAGAGACTGAGGATCCACTAATACTTGCGATCAGTCTTTTAACAGACTAACTATATGAGAGGTATGAGTGCACTAATATTTCATCAGTACTTTGATGAGAATACACTGATATTGCATCAAAATTCTGATATATCTTTAAAATTCTATTAATTTTATGACTGAGTATTTTTTGCAAAAGTTCATTTAAACAACATGGAAAATGTAATCCATGACCATTATTTCTCCAGCATTCTATAAGTGGACTGAGTAACGAATTAAATTTGCAAACAGCAATATAAATTTGTACATTGTGTACATATTCGAGCGTGATTTACAGGATGAGTGGTGAGAAACGGATCAAATAATTTTGTTGAAAATTATGAAATAATACGTATTCCCATTTATCAAATCTGAAAAAATAATTTGACCATTTCGTTTCTTACAGCTCACCTTATATACTTAATTACCAACACACACACCCATGGTATAGATAAATTGCAGATCATTTCAAATGTTATTGTTAGCAGTTTGATAAATTATACGTGTCATTCAAATGTGAATATTTAAACAAAAACAAAGAAATACACAAGAGTAATGAAGGCATAAATTAATAATATGGTCCAAAAGTAGACGAAATATTTCAAACTGTTGTTGCTGTTTAAAAAGCGTCTTGCTTGATGTTAATCCTCTTTTTTTCTCTGGTAACAGATGTACTGATTAAACCTATTTTGTTTTGGTAAATATGATTGGAAGGTTGTTTAACAGGGCAAGGGAAGGGATATATAATAACTCATAGCATTTAAATGTTTTTTCTATCAACACTACAAATTAGAACTGGATGTTACTCACCGTGTATGATTTCAGCTTTACACACAACATTGTAACTTATATACATATTTTTTATATATATTTAATAAAAAGGAGGAGTAAATAAATATCCTATTTGTATTCATGCCCTTCAGTGATACAGGTGGACAGAAAACTGTTCTGTAAAAATAAAAGACGTAGAACAAAATTTTTTCATATGATTTTTTTTTATCCCAATAAATCATATCTGTAGAACTCAATTAACTTGTACTATTAATAATTTTCTACTTCTTTTTACCACAAAAGTACAATAATTTTTCGAAAGAAATGAAATTTCATTAAAAAAAAAATTGTATTCTACATTTTCAAATTATTTTTACACCCTGTATATTTTATTTCTTACCGCAGCAATTAAAATTAAATAATTTAACGAAAACAGATGATCGAGAAACATAGAATTCACATGAATGTTGATAATCGTTTTCTATTAAGTACGATACAATAATTATAATAATTTAGTACTCTTCAACGTTCTTTACACATATACCTAAATTCCATCGCTTAGAAATGTATTCTCAACTTGAAGATCGGAACGATAAAAACTAATCACGTTTATTGCCACGCTACAATGTATAATCGAATGCTACAATAGAGTATTAAAAACTATGAAAGTAAGAAGCTTACGTGAGTAAAAAAAGAAAGAAGATAATCCGTTCTGCTATTTTACGCTACATTTACAGCGAGAAATTCATTCAGTCGGCTGAAGAGAAGAAGAAATAAAGAGATCGTGCTTATACACGGACAATGATCAACGAAAACACTTAAATAATTAATTATTGAAGATAAAGGTACTTTCGATAATATCTTCATTGCCGTGCTTAACGATTTTTTTTTACAATAAGTACTTTTCACAGGAGATTCCTATTTTAAAAAAGAGAAGGAATATGTCTTGTAAAAATATAAATTCTTTCATTTACATTAAGTATCTCAATCGTGTTCGATACATTCGAAAGCGTTTGTTATAAATTAAAACAACTAAATATCACGTTGTCGTCCTTCAAATATGGACACCTTCTTTGTGATACCAGTGAAGTTCTATAATTATATGTACATTATCGCTCAAAAGTATTAAGACATTTGTTACCCATAAGAGAATTCTGGGGTAAATTTGTTAGTTAATACGTTAACAGCCATGGAGGTCAACAGTGACCAACTCCTAAAATTTGGAAAGAGATGACAAATTTTGAATAGCATTAATGTTATCTCGATACTGTAAGATGGACAATTGTAAGCTTAAATTTCAAAATTAGCTGTGCATAGCTATACAAATCAGAATCTCAATCTTAATAATTAGAATTATATTTAGACCCTTCTTGCATAAAAGTTATATTCGATATTTCTTTCTATTGTCTAATTTTCAATATTCACGGAGTTATGCCAAATTTTGTGAATTATTGTTGACCGACTAATATGTATGTAATTGTAAGTTAAACATAAATCAAAAAGGGTTTGAGAAGGCTATAATTAAAATCAATTTTACTTATTTTTTTTATACATAAACCTTTTGGCGACATAACGATCAAGTTGTTTCTGATTACTTATGTAATAATGTGCAATTTCAAAAATTATTTTAAGTATCGTTGATATTAGATATAAAAAAAATAGCATTATATACTTCTTTTTAGCAACATCTCGCCCGGTATTGTGAGGAGCCTCGTCCGGCTTGCTGATTTTACCTTTCTTAACATGTGCTTTGTAAGGAATTAACAATATAAACAGTATGTCGTTTATTAGTGATAACTGTTCGAATTGATGCTATTATAAGAATCAATATCTTTTAGAAATTGCAACTGATTTTGTATAACATTTTGCGTAAAAAATATCAACTTCTCAGGTAAAATATAAAAAAAGTGAACAGTTCGTAAGATATTTTATACGAAAATTTGTAATATCTCACGAATCATTGACTTTTTTGATATTCCATCTTAATACTTTTTTACATAAAGTGAATGGAGTAACTATTATGTATAGGAGCCAAAATGGGCCTACCCTCCCCCAAATCTGGACTGGCCCTCCCCAAAAATAAAGATCTTCACCATTCTAAGATTTTAAGATTCTAAAATTCAAAATTTTCAAAATTCTAAATTTCTTACATTTTAGAATTTCAAAATTCCAAATGTTTAAAATTTCAGAATTACGAAAATTCCAAAGTTTCAAAATTTTAGAAGGAATATAGCTCACCCTAAAAAAAAATTCAAGTTACGCCAGTGCGTAGAATATTCTGAAAAATCAATTCCCCTAAAGTAGTATATGCTTAAAGTACTTCTTGTGTCGTCATTTGATGCACTTTAAAACCAAAGGTGACATTAAAATCTTTGACACCATTCGACACCATTTAATTTTTCCTAATGCTATTTTTTCTATCTTCTATTATTTTAGAAATATAACTTGATCTAATTGCACTGATTATCTAAAAGCCCTCTTATGAAACATCAAGTGATAAAGTAGTTACTTTATGTCTCTTAATGATTGAACGATTCTCTGTCAGGTTTCGTATAAATTAGAGTGGCTTAAGATTTTTGAGCGACAGTGTTGTAAGTAGTCTGCCTAGTGACAGGATTGATTTGCTACGAAAAACAGATGTGTTTCACTTTGCTACAGAAAACTTGTTTGAACAATCTATTCTCGCGGTGAAAATATGCTGGTACGTTCTAAATATACAGTGCCGTGCTGTACCACGAGTGCATATAGGTGGATAAGAATAGCTCAACAATAATGCGGTTGCCTTCAATAACGATTCCATCACTGAACATGATTATGGGTGACGTGAATTAAATAAACATACTGTATGTAACATTTCATCGGAATATTTCAACTAATCACCGATTTCTATTCTCCAACTTAACTGTATGAAGAGTTTCGAAACGATTCAATTAACTACTGAATTATCGCTAATCGAATTAAGTGAGGGTTCAACGAGGTGAGGTCAGAAATTTCATCGAGAGATATCGCTTAATTTTTATTGGAAATAATAATAAGTATCGTGCATTGGTAGTTTACTATCTCATATTAGTTGTATGAGCGAGATAAACATTAATATTCTACTTTATGTTATAATAATTTCCTTGCAAAAGCAGCGCGTGTGATTTGGAACAGCAATTTGGTCCAAACAGAGAACAGTTGTACGGAATTCCAAAAGCAATAATTTCGCAAAATTCCAGTGCGCGCTTTTCTGAAATAAGGGAGAAACGAGGGAAGTTAGGTCACTTATGATCCAGATTCATGAAACGTATGGGATCATATTTCGACTGAAGTTAAATGTAGTACTTATCATTTTTAAACTGAGAAATTTTATATATTGGAAAAGTAATATTTAGAAAATTTCAAAAATGAAGATAATATAATAAGGTATCGGGCCCAGTGGTTGGATGAATACGACTAATTGAACGGACCCAGTTATTTAACGCTTTTCTTGCCTCTGATTGGTGAAGAGCGTTTAATTACTAGGACTATACACTTGCAATCAAATCAGGCTTATCCAAGAAAAATCGCGATGTCCGGGTTCTCACTCTTTCCTATAGATATTCCTGAGGAAATTAACAATGTAAGGAATGGACCTTCTGTATATATGTATAGGAGCCTGGCTCTATCACGTGGGTGTAAACATTTACGTGGGAAAGTTTGAATTAATATTCATTTATTATTTATATTTCTCAGTTATATACTAAAATTTGTGGTATTTAATATTCAAAAGTTATATTATTTTGTTTCTAAATTATTTTAATGTATTGTCAAAATTATATTAATTATCATATACATATATCCGCTATATTGCCATTTTCTGTAGGGAAGCTTGCTTTGATCATGGGTGTACATGTTTCACCACCGGGTCCGTTATCTTATACATATAAAGTTAACTTTATATAAAGTACAAGGGTTAATTTCTGGTTAATTAATAGAGAAGAAAAAGAATGGAAAACAGTTTGTGTTTAAAGGGAATAGAATTGAACTTTCTGACCAGCTCTTGTATAGGATCAAGGACCTCAGCACCGGAAGTGTGTACAGAGTACAACGTGTTAAGAAAGTAATGGCTCACACAAGTGATTCTTTGTTTGATGTTGGATGAACATTTGCAAAAGGACCTAATCACAAACTTTATAAGTTTCTCATATTGAAGGCTTAAGATTTTTTTTTAATACCAAAACTGTTAAACCAGTTAAAATGACTGACTTTGGATTTTCTTTTTTACTTAATAAATCACAGAATTTATTAAGGCGCTTTTGTAGAATATCTATTAAAGTGTATAATAGAGATGCGTCTCTAGGGAAAATTTTAATATTTTTTTAGTTACATTAAATTTTATGATAATAATTAAGCTCAATAACTTTAAAAATTAGAATTTTAAGAATTATCATTTTTTCATTTAATTATTCATGATGTGTAAGTCTCGGGTATTACTGTGAGTAATAGTTGCTCCCTTCCTTACACTGCCATTTTTTCAAGGGAAGTCTACCATGTGGTATTGTACACTTGTGATCAAATTAGGCTCTTCAGGGTAAATGACAATTTAGAGAAGAGAGCCCCATATGTTGCATATACATATGTACTATGGTCTGTGGTCTCCTATCATTTGCGTGTCAACGTTCATTCAAAATTATAATTAATATTTGTTATTCGTACATTTCAATTATGTATTCAATTTAATAATATTTAATAATTAAAAATAACATTAGTTTGTTTCTAAATGATTTTTAATATTAACATTTTGAAAATTTCTGCTTTCCTTATATCGTGATTTTTCCTAAAGAAGCTTGATTTAAACTTGAAAGAACTTGAAAAAGACCTTTAATTTCTAAGTTTTAATTATTTTTGCAAGTGCCCATCCAACGTAATGTAGAGAATCACTGTCAGACTGTGACCATCATCTTATCACTCTTTACAAATTGTGTATAAGCACCGGATTCTTTGAATACACTACCGTACAAGGTTTTTCGTACTACAGCTTACAAATTGCCACGTGTCAAAGTGTCTAAAGAGGCACTAGCTACTGTAACACGTTTTACGCACATCGGCAAGTATTACACTGAAGTCGTCGTCCGGTTTCGGCACGTGTTCCATATTTTGAGATTGCTGTCCTTGCTGCTGCTGCTGCTGCTGCTGCTGCTGCTGCTGTTGCTGTTGTTGCTGCTGCTGTTGTTGTTGCTGAGAGGGGTGTTCCTGATACTTTGTCACATCCATAGCCTGATGATACTGGTCCATCGCATGACCCATACCCACGTTAGAACACCGAGTGTCTTTGTTTTGATCATCAACGATGCACTGCGAATTCGACATGTCCAGCTGAGTTTGTTGAGGGGCATAGTAACGCAAATCACTGGCGTAATTGTGATTGCTATCGAGCAAATTCTGCGACGAGAGGCTGCTATGAGCCACGTTGCTCGAATGAGAATACTTGAAATATTTTTCTAGCTGCAGCGTCTGTTGCTGATCGTCATCCGCAGTCATGCCAGGGTCCATGTGGCCCAGTATCGAGTGCTGTTGACCCGTACTGGTGCTCTCGGTTTGGTACTCTTGATGATGGGTCATTTGGTAACGGTGAGATACACCTGAAATGTGTTTCAATTGCTAATTGACATTAGTTTCTTCTGCACACGCGTGATGCTGAAATGTAAGAATGTTAAGATTTGCTAGATGTGTATGCCAATTCTGTCGTATTTAATGTAAAGAAAAGCACAGTGCACTCTTAGAATCCATCAGTTTATAATTTTTAAAGAAATTGAAATTGTTAAATAAATTTGCAGTAAAATAGAGAACAAGCGAAACCAGAGGATTTTAAATATCCTTGATCTTTGGAATCGGTCCAAGTGTAACAGGGTAGAAGAAATAAAAATGAATGAACTATTACCGGAACAACCTTCAGCGGCTCCACGGATACCCATGGATTGTTGTCGATTGGCACACTGAACAGGATTGTAGTTGTTTTCAACGGTGGACTGCATCGAATAGTTGGCAGTCTTCGAGGACTGGCTGCTCGTGTAGTGCTGCAACGATTGATCGTGAGGGGATGCGACTGGTGGATAAAAAGTGCCCGTCACAGAGCCAACATTCTCAAATCCTGAACGCAATTTATTGCACGACACCATCATACCGTTTGCTATGCCCACCGCGGCGATGCTCGACGGCTGTCTCTCGAAATTTAAATAGCTCACCTGAAAAAATAAATATTTAAAGCGTACAATGAAATGCATTTTATATGATTCTTAACTATAGAAGCAGGATATTGACTTTAATATAGAATTATTGATAATATCAGGACATTTTATAAGTAATTTGCTTCTTACTTTGCTAAAATTATTTCAAAACAAATCAATTGCTGTCGTTAATATGTTATCAGGACCGGATTAAGATTTTTAAGGCCTTCCAGAACGCCTTTGCAAAATTAAATAACATTTAAACGCAAAGAAAAATAATAATGCTAAAGGACAAATATCGAAAAGATGCATATTTTAATAAATTAATTAATTATGTAAAAAGTATAAAGGAGATTTATTTTTGCAATAGCAATTGGGTCAAAAATGTGCAAATTTATAATGAATTTTAAATGTTGGAATTTTTTGACTTACAATTAGCAAATGAAAGGCTAGATACTTTCACACATTCATCAATTATTGATTAAAAGAATTTGAAATTTGACATACGCACAAACATCTTTAATTACTAAAATATATAATGAAATTATATTTTAATACGTTGATGGCTGTAGGATCCAAAACGTGTCGTAAATGTACCTAATATATATAATTAAATAATCAAATCAAAGAAGAAAGACAATAAAAATGATGTAATGATATAAGATAAATTGAAATCTTAAATTTAAAAATTAATTGTTTATATCTTTAACCCTCAGATGGCGGACGATGGAGAGAGTCCAAATTTTAATTTAATTTTGTATTTCATATTATTTTAATGCTCTAAATTTTACACTGTTTCTCTGAAAATTATTCTTTTAATATATGAAACTCTTTTATTTAAAAATTATACATTTATCTTTAAGTTAATATCCTTGTATATGTTTTATAAGTCTGTGCCGCGATTGACCCAGACTCTGCTGTTCGAAGGTTAATATAATAATTAGAGTTTTACAGTCAACATGTTAACTTATATTTTATTCGCGTTTTCATATGGTACTTACCGATTTCTTATAAGTTAAAGTGTCAGTGTAACCACCAGAATTCTGACACGACGATATGCTAGTAGTACCAGCATGATCCGTGTGCAGTTGATTATCGGTATTCATAAAAGTGTACCGTTTCGTTTGCTCGTTCATTTCATTGTGCTGCTTCGACGAACCACCCTCCATTAGATCTCGTTCTGCATCTGGGTTTTGCGTAGACGACAAATGCGTACCGTCACCTAAGCATCAATTAATCAGTTGGTTGAATATTATGCGATATTATCCTAAAGAATAATTAAAAATTTGTCATCTCTGTTTCAATTGCTAAAACTTGACAAGTGATTATTTATAGTTACCAATAAATACATACATTCCATACACTTGTTATAAGGAACTAAAGAAAATAATTCAAACTATACTTAAAAAAAAAGAAGAAAACAATACGATAAACAAAGAACTGTTTCAGGAACTCGTGATTTAATCGTGGAAATTCAATTCTTGGAGTTCCAAGTCTGTCTGAAGGGGTAATTAATGCGAGTACTAAGTCTCACCATCTGGCTCGGGACTGGCAACTGGAGATATGTCCGGTGTGTGAATAATAGGCGTATAAGGGCTGCCGTACAAGGAATTGCTCTCCGATTTGTACTCCTGGATACCTTGTTGCTGCTGTTGTTGGTGATACAGGGATGAGATCGGGGAATGGCCACCCCATGGGATCTGAGGAATGCCTTGATAACTATCCATCTTGGACCTTAAAGATATCATATGCAAAGTTTCGTTACTTTTATAAAAAATCTCTTGAATCTTTTAAAAAAAACTTTTAGTGAAGAGGGTACGAATTTGAGATACCCATTTTATTTTTAGACGTAGAGAGTCTGCGAATAGTTATAAATAAAAAAAATCAAATACAGAAATTTGGCGAATTTCATGCGGAATGAGCTGTATAAATAAATATTATAGATTTTACAAAACTTCTGTTTCTTTCACTTTTTCTAATTTATGGCAACAATACGAGATAGTGCTACTTTTGAGACAAATAAAGAACATTAATAATGATAAATTAAACATAACAGAACGCAAATATAATAAGATAACCACAATTAAACGAAAGACATTAAATCCACAATTCGCATTTACAATCTTAAGAAAATCTTTTATTGCAAAATATACACATTTTATATGTTCATTAGTTCATTTTATTATTTAGTAATAAATTTAAGAATGTGGTAGTAATATGAGACTCTTTCATATTGCTACCAATCAAGTATCTCATTTTCCTATCAATTATTATTATTTATCATAATGAAAACATAAATACTTCAAATATCCTTTGATATACTAATACTATGATTATTACAATATAACTTATCCATTTTGTTTTTTCAAAACTCACAAAATAAACCAAAGTTTACACTTTAAGAAGCAAAAGTGAAAACGTTTGTTAACTAAAACAATGATACCTATCAAGAATAATTGTTATGGAAGAGTATTTTACTCGTCGTAATACTTGATATTACGGGCTAAAATCGTTTCTACTCTATCTCATATTCGTACCTTTTTCTCTACACTATTGATCAAAAATTTGGGTACATATTAGGGATGTGCGGGTACCCGATATTACGGGTTCGGGCGGGCTCGGGCGGATTCGGAAGAAATCGGGCGAGCTCGGGCTGGCGTTCGATACATGCGTGGAGTCGGGTAGCCCGACTGTTCCGGGTTCGGTCGGGTACAGTCGGGCTGATTCGGACGAGCTCCCGCGACCCAACTCTCATGTACTTATTAATACTTGCAATAAGCATGTACAAAATCTGTTTTATGTGGAATTTTGGAATAAGATAATTTTTATATGGAAAAATAATACTTGTAATGAATTTATCTGAAATGAATTTCATTCCAGGTCACCTGTATGTTCATTTTATATAAAATAGATTTTGAACATGCTTATTGCAAGCATTAACAAATATTATACATGAGAGTTGGGTCGCGAGCCGCGGCCCGCGGAAGCTCGTCCGAATCAGCCCGACTGTACCCGACCAAACCCGAAATAGTCGGGCCACCCGACTGCACGCATGTTCGGACTTCTTCCGAACCGACCCGACTAGTCGGGCCGCACATCCCTAGTACACATGCTTTTGTATTGTTCGTGCACAATTGAACCAATTTAAGAATTTTGTTCCATTAGTTTAGTGCTACTCTTGCACTGTCAAACTGTCACAAAATTAGCAAGAATATATAGCTCTTGGAATTGATGTTCAAGGAAGAAGAGAAGCAATTCATTATTCCCATTTGACCAGCATTTCGTGCTAATTGGTCAACGTTTTCATACTGTCCTAATTAAAGGTCACAAATATTATCTAATGAAGTCAACTTATTAGAAGCGATATGGTATAGGGAAGCCAAGTAATACAAAATGTGTCTACAGTAAATACATATATGTCGATACACAGACTTATGATACGTGAAAAGGCTTCGAAATTAAACGAAACACTGAAGAGAAAATGTAATTTTGAAGCAAGCAATGACTGAATAATGAAAGGTAGATTCGTGTTATATTGCCACGTGAGCAATTTAATGTTCACACAGATTTTAAAGCATATTAGTCTATGAAAAATCTATAAAAATAATACATTTCTATCTACCCCTCCTATCTATGCCCCCTTTAAACGAGAATTTGACAGCTTGACTTTCCTGCTCCCACAGTCTCGTCGGCGACAATATAACAAGAGCAGACTGTAAATTATATCACTTTTGTTGAAAAAAATATTTGATAGGTATTAAAGCAACTTATATCCATTCTAATTGCAAATTTTCGTATATTTTATTAAATGATAATTATTTTTAAGTATCAAAAGAAATCAAAATCAATGATTAAATAATTTTTAGAACAATCTGAATGCAAAGGTATTAAATTTTGATTGAGTTTTTGATCAGGGCGAGATGTTCTTGAAAAATCGATACGAACTGAGATATCGACTTACATGGAATGATGAATCGTGGTACCAGAGGGGTTGGACCTATTGCCAGTGGTATTGGTGGCGGATGGAGGTGAGGAGGGTGCACCTGGGGCCCTTTTCGCGTGTTTCCTACGACGTGGTCTGTACTTGTAATTCGGATGTTCCTGCATGTGTATAACCCTCAGCCTCTCCGCCTCCTCTACGTACGGCCTTCTATCCTGCGGGGTTAACCCTCGCCATTTCTTTCCTGAAATTCACGGATAAATGCCCATTAATTGTTAAACGGTGTTACAATTATTTCGTATTACATTCTTAAAGTACTCAGATATTTGAGTGCTCACCCAGTATCCGGAATTTGAAGCTGCATGAAAGATAATGAAAAAATTGTATAAGTAAATGTAAACTATTTATAAATAGAGGGTAGTTATACAATGGGATAGCTTTTTATCAAATTGTTATTATTGCATCAATTAATATGTAATAGCTACCTGTTGCTTAGGGTTATAATCCTAGAAATAAGATTTATATGTATAATTTGCTTAGTTTTTATCACTGAATTTTTACAAAGTTTACACCATAACTAACCCACCATCAAGATTCACTGATAAATTTAAAAGATTCTCAATGAGCACCGTCACCGCAGACGTATCCATAAATTCTATCCTCCAAATCACCATTCTTCATTCTAATATTATAGAGGAGTCCGAAGATAATTGATACCGAGGTACGTTGATACATGATAATTTTGAAAACGATCACAACTGATACATCCAAAAGGAAAACTATCCGAAGATCAGTCATCATTTTCTCAACACTGAATATTTATATCCTTTTTTTGCAAAACAAACTTTTAATGAAAGTCAATCTTTTTTGACCAAAAGGATGTCTATGAATATGTAGATAATTTAACTTTGACCCTTGAACACCGGAATCAGGGTCAATCGAGACCCAAACTTACAAAACATATAATGATTTTCAGAGGAGCAATGTCAAATCTAGAAAATATAAATAATAGAAAATAGAAAATTTAATTAAAATTGGGGCTCTCTCCGGGGTCTGCCAGTCAAGGGTTAGACGGAATGCCGTAGTAGGATTAAAGATCAATAAAAGTAACCGCGGTTCGTTGCCGATACCCTTTCGATATGTTGCTTGTTCGAACCACCTAATTGCCCATCGCTTGGCTACATAATCGGCGGAGGAAGCAGAAAAATGGTCGAACGAGCTAGTAAGATACGAATTACAGACGGGGCTTGGCCAGTCGAAGACGGCCAGGTTGGAATCTGCCTTAGTTCAATATATACCGGCGTATGGTAGGCTGGAATATCATTAAGCAAGGATAAGGGTTAATACGAACGTAAGATGTTCACGACAAGAACGAAAAAGTTGAGCAAGGCGGATGTATATGGTGTGGCCGTGTACATAGATGCATACATATGTAGACGGGGGATCGGCGTACATACACCGCGGAGCCGTATGGGTACATAGGCGCATGGGGGCGTAGATATGGGTGCGCCCGTGCCTTCAGCCAGCCACAAGGCACGAACCATTATTTCATATTTCATTTTGTATATTTCAACTCCCAGAGGAGAGACGGTAAACCTGAACGACTCCGACGAAGGGAGGAAGATAGAAAATAAAGAGAAAACGAACGGAACGGGTGAAGAGGCAAAAAAATCAAGGAGGAGAAGAGGGGTCGCATCCTCTATCTCCCAGCAAAGTCCATTTTTGTCGCCCAGAGTTCTTCGTCTTCGTCTTCGTCTTCTTCTTCTTCTTCTGCTTCTTCTCCTCCTTTTTCTTCCAGCGTCCCCCTCGTTGCCCCTTTTTTGCGATACGCGTTTTCGTTACAGACAGGGTGGGTAAGGGATTCGTTTGCGATGGATCGAATCGAAATGGTGGCTTCAAGTCGTTCAGAGTCGATGGAATGTCGCTAGCGCACTTACGTGGTTCGATTTTTTGATAACATGGAGGAGAGTCAATGTTTATTGCGAAATTTTCGTTTTGAGGGTTTATTTCTTGACGACGCTTGATTCTTATTTTTTATTTATTGATTTTTTCTTTATTTTAAGTTTTAGTGAAAGAAGCACATATTAGATATAGGATTAAGTTCCTTCCGATAAAGTTCTGTTGATTGCTCTGTTCATTTGTACAAAAATTGGAAAGTACCTACTATGTTTACATCTAATAAGTATGTATATAATTTGTACGATTTGATGGAAGGAAACGATAAATTCAAATAACAGTAAAATGAGATCTATCAACGGAATGGTCAAAAGTGGATGGTAAAGTTGCTCGTCCAGACTATGTTTATTCAAAAGAGTATGAAACGAGGAGTTTATGGTGCAATTTTTGGGTGCCATTGAGAACGGGTTCAAAAGTTATGGGACTTTGAAATTTTTATATTTTTAAGTGCAAATGATTAGAAAAGATGAGAAATCGAAATATAAAATGAAAATTAAGTATAAAAGTGACAAAGGCATGAATTTGAGATGATTAGATGATGTTTACTAACAATTAAGATGAGTTTCAGGGAAAATTGCATGTGTGATGCAATTTGCACTTGTGTGATCATTTGCACTTAAAAATATAAAAATTTCAAAGTCTCATAACTTTTGAATCCGTTGCCAATGGCATCCAAAAATTGCACTATAAACTCTTCGTTTCATGCCCTTTCGAATAAACATAGATTAGACAAGCAACTCTACCATCCACTTTTGACGATTTCTTTGTGAGTATCGACAATTTTTAGAAATAAACGTGCTTTATTTGTAATTTTCTTTTTTTTCTTATAGTATTTTAGATTATAGCAAAGGGAGAATATAGTATATATAATTTGTACCGTTCAACGTAAGGGAATAATAATTTTGGACAACAGTAGAAAGAAGTTTTAGTATCGATATCTCTTAGAAAATTTGTAGATATGATTTAGACGCTAAATTTTTTAAAACATTTTGTTAGTTACATCGTATGCATATGAAACGTTAATTGTTGTTTCAATACTATTTGTTATCATACTTTGCATAATCTTGAGTGACTATTACACTAGAAATAATCAGAAATATTAAAAATTTATTTTTTAACTAAATATTTCAAATTGCTAATATAATCAAGATGTTAATGTTGTATTAGTATCCTGTCAATATATCGCATTTCATTTGTAATAGCATTGCCATTTTTTACACAATAATTTGCTGTTATTAATACAAATAACCTCTTTACTGAAATATTTTAGATTATAAAATTAATAAAAACAAATAGTTTAAAATCATGTGTCTACAAAGTGTATCAGTTAATTTTCTCTTCTATTAATTTTCAATATACTCGTAACTTGTAATAGCGCTACTACTTTAATTCATTCATTTAGCGTTGTTAATTTAAATGAAGAAAAATATTATAATACCTTCCTTATTCCAATGTTTCAAATTATGAAGATTGATAAGGGCAAATTATTTAAAATCATATGTTTACAAATTATAAAATTTAATTTTCGATACTTTATTGGGGTAATAATTTGTACAAAGTGATGCAAACTGTACAAACTGATAACAAATCTATTAATATTAACTGTTTTAGCAGTATAACATTAATATTTTTTATTAATTTCATCTTTTTGGTTATACTGTGTAAATCTTACAATTAGTATAACAATTTCATTGTATGCACTTACTGTTAATAAATCTGCTAATTTTAGTCAGACTAATGATTTTACATTAGTCATTTTACATTGATGATTTTTCATTAGACGTTACATTGTTCATTGCAAAATTTCGATACTTGTGTCTTGTTACATATAAAAAAGAATTGTCTCAATAAAATAAAATTAATGGGTTGATGTAAATAAATAACACAAAAGAATAAACCGTTAATAAATTTACTAATGCTCATTTATTAATGTCAATTGTTTTTTATAACTACTATGAAAAATATTAATTTTTCTGCAAACAGATAATTTTTCTAGAAAATATTAAATTTAAAAGAAGAAACGTTTAAAAGTTTTGTTTCCTTTCGACTAAAAGATATTTAATAAGTTGACATAAATTAATAATACCGAAAATAAAATTCTTAATCAGTTTACAGATTTCAATAAAATCATGTTAGTGATTTTCAGTTACTACTTTGCAAAATATTAATATTTTCGTATATCAAAGACAGGCTAATAAGTATTGTCCTCATCTTAATGAAACAAAATCAAAAGGTTGACCTGAATTACTGTTAATCAGTCTACACATTTAGCCCTTCAACTGCAGAGCGTGGGTCAATCGCGACTCAAACTTACATAAAATATACAAGAGTATTAATCTAAAATTATATTTTTTAATGGAAGGGTTTCAAAACAGTGTACAAAATTAAATTAAAATTGCGGTTTCTCGATGGTCCGCCGTCTAAGGGTTAAAGAAAAGCATATCAATGGTAGTACATCTGTGCAAAATATTAATGTTTCTATACATAAAATGATGAACTGGAAAGCCTCGTCTAACCAATCTTAATAAAAAAAAAATCAACAAATTGAATGAATTAATAACACGAAATAAAATGCAAACAATCGTGAAATATTCTGCTGTATACATTAGTATATTACAACAAACAGAGTGCGAAGTGAATTTCGGGACCGACGAAAGAAAGCGAAAAAGATGAAACCGCAATTCTTTTTCTCCCGACCGGCTCTGCCCTTGCACCCTCGTGGTCAGACTTTGTCCATTCGCTTCCGCGTATTTCGCGGAAATAGTGAAATCATCGGTTGAAAGCGTGCAAGAAAAGGAGAAACAACCGTAGACGAAGGAAGGGACAAGAGACGGCGCCTGAGACTTTTTGGCTAACAATAAGTAAACTTAATTTAATATTCCTGGGCGCGCTCCGCGGTGAGCTAGCCGGCAGTGATTCATCATCACACCCGCGCACTGCTTCTCACCATGACGTCCTCGTTAAGTATTCTAATGGTTGCCGTGTACCTCTAATTTACTCTGTTCTCGGCCCTAGTCCGACGACTTCATTAATTTCAATGTTTCGCTCGGAAGCAGACCGCGTGCGGATCGGAAACACACGGTCCTTGTTCAATTAGGCGAACCATTGTATTTTTTTATTTGTAATATTGGTCAATTGTAATTGTAAAACCTGCTCTACTATCCAGCACAGTAGATTTACTTAGGAAAAATGACGATGTACTTGCTTGTTAGTAAACGCGAACACGAAAACATTTTATTTAATATTTATTTTATTACTAATATTATTTGGTTATTATATTAAGATTTC